GGTAATGAGACAACTGTGTCTCCTGATATGATGCACTAGAAAGGACACAATATCAGTTCTTTAGTATCCCTGCCTAAAATACATAGTCTGAATCTAATCATGAGGAAACAGCAGACAAGCCCAAATTGAGGAATATTTTATAAAATAACTATCCTGTACTCTTCAAAAATGCCAATGTCACCAAAGAAAAAGAAAGCCTATAGGTTAAAGGAGATGAAAGAGACATGGCAACCAAATTTAACAGATTATAAAAGTTTTCTTTTGTTATAAATGACATAGGGACAACTAACAAAATCTGAGTAAGACCTGTGTATTAGATAATAGCATTGTATCAATGTTAATTTCCTTATTTTGATCATGGTACTGTGGTTATGTAAGAGAATGTTCTTAAGAAACACATACTGAAGTATTTACGGGTAAAGGCTATCATATCTACAACTTACCCTCAAATGGTTCTATATAATATAGAATAAACCATTTAGTTTATTCTCTCTTTTAAGGAAGGTAAAAAGTTCATGTTTGGGAAATTTAGGTCAAGGATATATAGGAATTCCCATTCTTGAAATTTTTCTGTAAAATTAAGTTACTTCTAAAAGTAAAAGTTAAAAAGAAAAGAATGAAACATAGGCTAGGGTAGTCAAGACACTCAGCAAAGGTCTACATCTGGCTAATGGCAGATCCAGGACATGAACAGACTGTCACTCAAAAGTCCACGTTCCTTTCCCTCCTGTGCATGATCAGTCAATTGACTGACAGTCTTTATCTGCATTCACAAGGGCACAGATTATTTACAAAAATAACTTGATCCACTGAATGAGGATTGCTTTTCCCAGAAGGAGGAAACCCCAGTATTGAATTGGGAGTCACTTCACTATAGGGTTGCTATGAGTTGGAATTTGACTCGAAAGTAACGGGTTTGGTTTTGGTCACTTTTCAATGTGTGCCCCACTGCAGAATCTTAAAAAGTTCTTTGTTGAGTTTGCACTGTGTTGAGACTGATTCAGCTATTTGCTGAATTTGAGAAAACTACAGAGCTCCTTTAAGGCTCTTTAGATAATCCTTCCTGAGGTTCAAGACCTTAGAGGATTTGACCTCCAATTTCTCTTACTTTGGCAGCTAAGAACTTCCACTAAGGAACAGAATGGAGAGCTAAAATTTCCAAAGAGAAACTCCCAGTTAGCCCAATAGAATGCTCATTAAAACATTAGCAAGTTCATCACCATTAGGTAAAGGGAGAAAGAAGATAGGATTCTTTTCTTATTGATCTACGATTAGGCAAAAACAATGGATGCATCAATTTATTTTTTGTCAAATTTTTACTCTTAAGCATCTTGAAAAGTAGTCACTTGTGAACTTCCTTGGGGTTGCAGAAATAGGCTATTTTGTGGGTTTCTCCCTGAAATTGGGATGCCATTCCCTTTGATTATTTCTTGCATTTACATTTTCTGCACCTTTATGTTGCTTAAACTCTGGTCTTTTCTTTTTTGATTTTAAAGCTATTTGCCAAAAAGAAAACAATAAACAACTTTGGAGAATGAATCCCAAACTTCAAATTTTTGACTATCAATATTTTTAAATGAGTATATGTTCATATCCATCTCCACATGGATTCTCTGATTGCTTTTAAAATTAAAACTCCCAAATATGGCCTATGAAAGCCTGACATGGTTTAGCCCTATCCTTTTCCAGCTTCATATCTCATGCTTTTCACCCATGTCCTTCCACTCTAGCCATATTGGCTTTCCTTCAGTCTTATGCACTTTGCCTGACTTCCTCTACCTGAAATATTCTGTGCTCTGCCTCTTTTTCCTTTCTTTGCAACTCAAGTCTCTCCTCTGATCTCCCTGACTTAACTAAATTCCTCGTTCTAAATCTCAGTAATTCGGTTTTGCAGCACTTATCACAGCTACAGTGTTTTACTTATGTTTGTGATTATGTAATTAATTCTGTTCCCCCAACTAAGCTCTTATCTTCTTTGGTAAAAACACACAAACCAAACTCACTGCCATCAAGTCGATTCCAACTCATAGCAACCCTACAGGCCAGAGTAGAACTGCCCCATAGTTTTCCAAGGCTGTAAGTCTTTACGGAAACAGACTGCAACATCTTTCTCTCCTGGAGCAGCTGGTGGGTTCTAATGACCAACCTTTTGGTTGGCAGCCGAGCGCTTTAACCACTGCGCCACCAGGGGTATTGGTAGACCGGACGTATTCAGCTCACATTTTCACAAGTAAGCATAAGTGAGCATTCAATATTTTTGAATGAATAAGTGGATGAATGAACTCTACAACCATCAACTAAAATAAAGGCAGATCTTCAACTGCTTGGGACTAGCTTTAAGGGGAACTTGTGCACCACATAGAATTTCTTCCAAAATTTATTTCAGTGGTCTTATATCCAGAAGCAAAAACAGAAATATAATTTCCTGGAATTGACATGCTGGTCAAGATTCATGATCCCCCAATCCAATCATCTGTCTCTAATGGCTGAACTTTAATTTCAAGACACAATTATTTTCTGCTTTGAATTTTTTGTTGATATCATGTGTTTTCATTAATGGAAGCACACTGAATCATTGAGTGTGTCTGAATTTTTGGTAGGTAGTATGAATTTTTTTTCTTGCCCCCTCTCACAATCCTACCCTGACTGTCCCAAGGTACATATGTTTTAACACTAATTCTACCCCAGAGTCCCCCCAAAGTCCACTGCGACATATGTGTGCCACACAAAAGATTTTCAAAATTTCTCTTACAAAAAATTCAGACACCTCATACAGTACCCTGTAAAAACAGTAATTTGCAGCACATGTCCATTTCTTCCATTTCAAGAGTTATACAGGTCACCGCCTGCCATCAGCACGTGCTATCAGTGGGAGAGAAGCTTCCCAATGAACCCTAGAGATAAAAAAACAATTGGAAGCTATATATGCCACCAGTCCTGAAAGGGTTATTAAAAAACCAAGGAAAGGGAATGATAGTCGTACAAAAATCAACATAGTTATGGATTGAATTGTGTCCCCCCAAAATGTGTTGTAAATCCTAACCTTCATACCTGTGGATGTAATCCTATTTGGGATAGTTTTCTTTGTTATGTTAATGAGGCCATTATCAGTGTAGAATGTGTTTTAAACCAATCACTTTTGAGATATAAAATGGCAGATTAGGCACAGAAGCAAGCAAGCACAGACTGGGGAAGACAGATGTCATACCACATGAAGATCGCCAAGGAAGGGAGGAACAAAGGCTGAAAAGAGACAAGGACTTTCCTCCAGAGAAGAGAGAAAGCCTTCCCCTAGAGCTGACGCCTGAATTTGTACTTCTAACCTTCTAACTCAGAAAATAAATGTTTGTTAAAGCCACCCACTTGTTGTATTTCTGTTTTAGCAGCACTAACAAACTACGACAATCATTAAGAAGTAAAATATGTTCCTAATACAGCTTATGTTTCCTCAACACCTATTTGTGGTTTACTCTTTATTGATTTACAGAAGTCAAGGATTTCTTTCAGTGGTTCATGGACACCCAAGGGTCTAAGGAGGTCAGTAAACACCTTGAAAGTATATACAAAATTTACCGATATGTCTGTTTTTTTTGTCATGGACCAAAGTTTTCATCAGATAATCAAGTCAGTTCATGCACCATACAATTTTAAGAATTCCTATTCCACTCCATGTTTATGAATAGAGATATTAAATATTAAGATGTCAGTGCTCCCCAACTTGATTTATGGATTCAATGCAATCCTAATCAAAATCCTACCAAGTTATTTGTAGAAATAAACAAATTGATCCTAAAGCTTATCTGGAAATGCAAACAATCCAGAATAGTCAACACAATACAGAAGAAAAATAGTTGGAGGACTGACACTATAAAGCTACAGTGATCAAGAGAGTGAGGCTTTGGTGAAAGAACAGGCAAATAGATGTGGAACAGTACAGAAAGCCCCCAGATATAGTCAACTGATCTTGATAAATGAGCAAAGGCAATTCAATGAGGGAAAGGATAATCTTTTCCACAAATGGTGCAGCAACAACTGGACATTCATAAGCAAAAAAAGTTTCTAGACACAGACTTTACATATTTCACAAAAATTAACTCAAAATGGATCACAGACCTAAATGTAAAACGCAAAACTAAATTTCTAGCAGATAACAGAAGAAAATCTAGGTGACTTTGGCAATTACTTTTTAAATGTAACACCAAAAGCAAAATCTATGAAAGAACAACTTGATAAATTTGAGTTTATTAAAATTAAAAACTTCTGCTCTGTGAAAGACATGGTTAAAAGAATGCAAACACAAGCCACCGACTCAGAGAAAATGTTTGTAAAACACGTATCTGATAAAGGACTTGTATGCAAGATATACAAAGAGCTCCTAAAACTCAACAATAAGAAAACAAACAACCCAATTAAAAAATGGGTAAAAGATCTAACCAGACACTTTATCAAAGAAGATATACAAATGGCAAATAAGCATACAAAAAGGACGCTCTACAACGTATGTCATTAGGGAGTTGCAAATTAAAATAACCATGAGATACCACTACACAGTAATTGTTGTTAGCTGCCATTCAGTGTTCATGACTCACAGGGATACTATGTACAACAGAATGAAACACTGCCCAGTCCTAAGTCATCCTCACAATTGTTGCTATGCTTGAGTCCATTGTTGCAGCCACTGTGTCAGTTCATCTCGTCGAGGGTCTTCCTGTTTTTCACTGACCCTCTACCTTACCAAGCATGATGTCCTTCTCCAGGGACAGGTTCCTCTTGATACCATGGCCCATGTATGTAAGACAAAGTCTCGTCATCCTTGCCTCCAAGGAGCACTCTGGCTGTTCCTTCCTGTGGCAGTCCAGACTTGCTCGTTCTTCTGGAAGTCCATGGTATATTCAATAATCTTCACCAACACTGTATTCAACAACATCAATTCTTCTTTGGTCTTCTTTATTCACTGTCCAGCTTTCACATGCATACACAGTTATTAGACATCAAATGCTGGTGAGGATGTGAAGCAATAGGAACTCTCATTCATTGCTGGTGGGAATGCAAAATGGTACAGCCACTTTGGAAGACAATTTGGCAGTTTCTTAAAAAGTTAAACATAAGCTTACCATAAAATCTAGCAATCATGCTCCTACGTATTTACCCAAATGAATATTTACCCAAATGAGCCCATAATGCCCAGCCAAATTTTCACACCCCACCCCCCTCCTAAACACTTCTTTACTTGAACCAAAATGCCCTTTATTAGCTTACCTCCCTATCCAAAGTTATGCACAATTGAAATAAAATGACAATAAATTTACCTCTTTCCAAATTCACTCTTTTGTGAAAACCTACACTCAAACACACCATTTATCCCTGGATCCTAGCTTTCTCATTACCCTAAGAGATGTCTTACACCAGAAAGGAGTAAAAGAGCTACCGTTCATCACTACAGAACAATAAATAAGATAGCACTCAAGGTTATAATTTCCAACATAGGGGAAAAGAGGCATCCAAAATGACAGCCTTTCTTTGAAGAAAATATATTCAAGGTGGCCATAACTGTGCTTTACTATACCATGTCAAACTTGTACCAGTAATTCTCACTCATGATGATCACAGTAAAGTGTAATGAGGCTCTTCCTCTGCTTTTATCTATAGCAGATACTCAAACTCTTATTCAATCTCCTACTTTGTCTGGTGAAAATTCTCTCTGAAGGCTTTAGCATTTTGGACAGTTTAACAGCCAGATTTCTTTGAGTTTATTCATGTTTCCTTTTCGCTGTAGTGGTCTCATAACAAAGACTACAAGTTATTCTGTGGCTACAGCCATCAGTCTCACTTTGAGAGGGCACTCCACAGATTGCATGGACATTTCCACCACATGATATGTAACTACTAGCACCTGTGCATTCTTTTTCACAAACTACACAAATAAAAATCTTGGTCTACTTTCAGGATGGGTTTTATTACTTCACCTTAGGAGTAATAAAAAGATTCTCTTCAATATCACTACTATCTGTTCCAATCTCAATGTTCTCTTCATACTGGCCTCTTATTTTCTAGCTCTTTGTCAACTTGTTCTAATTCATTTTGTTTGTTCAGGCTGGCAACAAGTTCTTCAGTTAACTGAGAATGAGACAGGCCCAGTTTTGCTTCAGAGCTAAATGTACCTTCACATGGAGTTTGTTGCATGTCTCTGTGACAGGGTTGATTTGGGGTCATCTGATGAACCACAAAAATTCAGCCCAGTGTGATGAACTGTTAGCTTACATCCAGGAGATAATCCTATTTTGGATATCCATATTAGTTTCTTCTACAGAATTCTGGCTTTGACAGGTTGGAGGCTTCCCATGGACAAATTTTAATTCTGGCCAAATATTACTGACTTCACTGACCATATGGCTTGAAAATTCCCTCCCATTGTCAGACTGTAAAACACTGGTGCTCCAACAATTGTAAAAATATCTAAAAGAGCATGTGCAACTTCCTTGGACCTTTTAAATTTTAATGACCTAAAAAAACTTAACTTTGTATGATGGTCTTGATAATGTATAATAAATTTATACTCCCTGTCTTAGGCTAGGTTCTCTACAGAAGTAAAACCAGTGAAGTGTATATACATATACACATGTACATATATATAGAGAGAAAGAGATTTATCTCAAGGAAATGGCTCATGCAGTTGTGGACGCTGGCAAGTCCCAAATCCATGTGTCAGGCATCATGCTGGAGGCTTCTCCTGACTCATGTAGTTGTAGGGGCTGATGAGCCTACAATCGCCAGGTCAGATGACAGGCTGTTGGCTCATGTGGCTGTGGAAGATGGTGAATCCCAAAATCAGCAGGTCAGATGACAGGCTACTGGCTTACAGGGCTGTGAAAGCTGGTGAATCTCAGAATCAGCATGTCAGACGACAGGCTGCTAGTTCAAGTCACAAGAACTGGAGGTTAGCTGATGATGGGCCACATGCAGGATTCAGAGCAAGGGAGAGCCTTGCCAGAGCATCTATATATACTGGATATAGGCCACCCGCTAAGGAAACTCCCTTACATCAGAGTAAGGGTGTGGGTAAGGTTGTGACTTGAGTAAGCTTGTGACTTGAGTAAGGGCGTGACTTGAGTAAGGGTGGGACTTGAGTCACACCCTCTTATAAGGCTGTGACTCAAGATACACCCACACTAATCCTGCCCTATTAACATGTATTAGTTAGGATTTACAACACATAAAATGGAGGATAATTACATCAGATAACAAAATGGAGGACAACCACACAATACTGGCAAGCTGACATGGCCTAGCCAAGTTGACACATAACATTAACCATCACACTCGCCATCAGGATTCAACTGCATGTCTGTAAGATCCACTTGGCATCTTGAGTTAACTTCCTTAATTGGCTGTGATGTTAGAACTTTCTTGGGTTTTGGATTTTTCTGTTGGCATGGTTTGCACAGTGTCAGGTATAGCATGATGACTTCTTTTGTGATGTTTTTGTATTTCGCTTGCAATTCTTTTTCCATGCGGGTGCGTCCTCCATGTCCAATACTGAGATGTGTATCATGCAGAATGTCAAATAAGTCCTCACTGGGTAAATAATACCGTATTTTACCTGTTTCCCCATTTACAGCCTCAATCAGTTTCTCATTTCCTTGGACAAGGATCACATCAAATCTAGCCAAGCGACGGTAGTCAAGCGATTCCTTTTTTGCCTTCGCTTTAGCCTCTTTCACTTCCCTTATCAATTGACAGTACTTTGCTTTAGAAAATATCTTAGGGTTATTACTTTTGTTCTCCAGTAACACTGCTAAGCTTCTGAAGAATTTTTCTCTCATGTTCTCTGGTTCAATTTCTGCTTCATTAGCATCTAAGCTACTGAGGTTATTGTCACCCACACTTTGGGACATCACAGAAAGCCAGGAAAACGACCCTAAAACACAAAGGAAAAAATAAATTAGGATATTCGGGAGCATACTTTAAAATACAGATATTGCCCAAAAAAATCACTACAGCTTGGCATGGAATTAGGGGTTATGGATACATAAGAGGAATACATAATTTTGGTTAGGCTGTTCAACCTTGGAGGAATGAAATGGGGGGTGGGGGTAGTGAGTGAAGAACTCTACCCAGAAACAAAAATTTCTGATACAGTAAAGCCAGGAGGTGACTTTCGAGAGCAGTATCTGGAGTCAGCCTTAAAGTTTTATGTAAACTCTGTTTTATGTAAAAAAGGAAGCAAATTAATGTTATTATTTTTTAACTTCATTATTTATTAATTTTTACTTTCTTTATTAACTAGATAAGAACATTTTTTGGGGTGGGGAGCTACAGAAGCCTCAGCAATACATTAATAGATTTTTTAAAAAGTCCCAAATTGCACCACATTTTCTGTTTCAGTCAGGTTAGCTGTTATATCAACATATGAAGTTTAAGTTCCAATATAATACACTTATATCAGTTCCCTTTTGGGGCTCATGAAACCACAAAGCCAATACAAATACCCACATTACTAATTTCAATTAGGGAGGGCTAGCATATGAGCCTGAACTAGTGAAAAATCTCTGACTTAATAAAGCATATTGAAAGAAATGTTTAGAATATTTATAATTACAAATACTGAGAAATTAATAATTCAAACTTAGCTTACCAAATTAAAAGAAAACTGCTTTGAAACAATAGAAAAGAATAATCTGGAATTATCACATCACCTCCGACAGTCTTATAGCTGCTTGGAAAAAATACTTTTTCTCAAGTAACACTCTTTACCCTACCAAATCTGCATCATGAATGTTGAACTAGTAATTTAAATCATTCTCAAGTGTTCATAATTTCTAAAACTAGGCTCAAATTAGTGATATGTTACTATATATTTTGGCCTCACTTTAACTCTCAGCTGTTCCAGTAAGACTTCCTTGATTGTTTAAGTTCACAGTGAATTCACGTTTCCTGATAAACAATCTATGCATAACACAAATTAGCACTGTAGCACTTGCTTTCATTGTTTTGTATATAGATCTACCGAGACTTAAGTTTCTAAAGAAGCAGGGATCACTTATTTCTCCAGTATCTTTCACATATCTAACACATTACTACATACAAAGGCATTTAATAAAAATCTGTCCACTAACTTCATAATTGAAGATGACAATACTCACAGTCAGTGCTATCTCAAAATGCAGCTGAAAAGACCACTAGATGAATAGTATTTCTTTCCACACTGATCTATTTTGTGCATTGCCTGTTTTAATCTATTTTCAGTGGACAATTTATCCTTCATTGATGTTTGCCGTAAAGTTGTAAACTCCTAGTGAACACAGAATGTATCTGTGTAACTCCCTCAATTGCCTAGTACAGAGCAGCAAGATGTACAGAAAATAATTTTGGGAGTGATGTGTTAAAAGGGTTTGAACAAGGAATGATGGATGAAAGGAGAGGTAGTGGGAAGTAGCAATAAGGACTATGAGCAGAAAAGGAAGGTAAACAAGGATGAATTTGGGGGAGAAAAGGAATATAAAGGAAATGATAAGTAAGAACCAGGAGAATGTGAGCTCCTGAAGTTAGCAGAATCAATGTTAATAGGTCTAGGGTGAGCAGGGAATAGGGAGTTGCTAGGAGTATAAGAAGAAAAGAAAATTGTATCCATTACACTTATACCTTCTTTGGAAAAGAAAGCTACTCCAGAGCCAAGCCAGCCTGTGTACCTGCCTCCACTACACAACATTATACCATTTATAGGCTTTAGAATGCTAATGAACACAAACTTCAGAAATTCCATTTTCTTCAGTAGAATTTCTAATTCTTAAACAGTCATTATGTGACAAAAACTGGGGGCAGAAACAACAGAAATGTGGCATATGGCTAGAGTGACAACAGTTCAACATTTACATACAGAGCCATCTCTGATTTATCCACAGTACTTACCTCTGCTACAAAATATCCATGGATAATCTTGTGTTCAACTATTTTTGACATTATTAAATAAAAAAAATAAACACATTGGTGTCGAGTTGATCCCGACTCATGGTGACCCTATGTGCTTGAGAATAGAACCTGATTGCTTATTTAACTCCTTTAATAACATTACACTACACTAGTTGACTTTTCCTTCCACCAGCCGCTCCTTGGGAACTCTATAGAGCAGTTCTACTCTGTCCTATAGGGTCGCTGCTATAAGTCGGAATTGACTCCACGGCAATGGGTTTGATATTTTATTTTTTTTTATTTTTAGTAGAAGCTGAAATGGAATGAGGTTTGATAACTCTTCAATGACTAGATCCTTCCCTCCCTCAATTCTTATCCTCTTTCCAAGGATTAAGTTATCCTCACCATTATCCTGAAGTAGATACGGCTCTGGAAATTCACATTCCATTCTGTCCACCATTGGATGGAGCTGGGTACCTAAGGACTTCTTTGCAATATCCAGAGGGGTTATTTCTTCCATAGGAACTTCCTGCCCATACGTGCCTGGTGGAACCTGGGGACAAACACGTACATTTAGGAATCAATATAAGTAACTACTTTACAAAGCATAGCTAAACTTTAAAACCACAAAAAGTCCTGGTTCCACTGAAATAGAATGTAAGGAGAAAAAAATTAGTCCTCATTGAATTCTGAAGAGCAGTGCAAGACAAAACAAGAAGAGAAATGAGAAATGCTAGGACTAACAAAGCCAGAGCCATACAACAGAAACTGACTGTGTTCCCATAGGACAGGAGTTGATATGCATCCCTGTGATTTCAGTTCTTTGGGAAAAAAGGAGTAGAAATACAGTAATCTTTCCTACATTGTGATAACTGAAAAAATACATATAAATAAGTTTTAGTGTGAGCAGTTAAAAGTAAATATTTTGGGGGAAAATGCAAAATATCTAAGAGAGACAAACAAGCTGTTAAACCAAGGAAGGAACAGCTGTTTAGACCGACTGTGAAAACCATTAGCCCAGTGTGTTACAGATGAAAAGCCAACCAAGCTGTATCACTGTGTAAGGTAGAAAATATTATCCTCTCCTTACACTAATCATCTAGTATATGGTTTATAATTAAATTTCCCAGTTGTCCCAAAACTTTATTTCATGATTTGCTTATTTTTTAATCCATGATCCAATTAGTCTTTATGCATTGTTTTTGGTTATTATGTCTCCTTTGTTTCTTTTAATCTAAAATAATTTCCTGCCTTTTTTTTTTTAATTAAATTAGATTTTGAAGAATCAGAACCAGTTGTAGAATATTTCATATTATGAATTTGTCTGATTGCTTCTTCACAAATAGATTCTGGCTAAACATTTTTGGAAGAATTCTACATAGAAGATGTGTACTTACTGTGTCACATCACAGGGAACATGATATTAAGTTATTTCATTGTTGATGATAAATTTGATCATTTGGTTATGGTAGTGATCACCAGATCTATTTTTTCTGAAAATATATTTTTCCCACTACAATTAATAAATCAGCTATACGGTAATAATTTGGGGCTCTGTGAATATCCTATTCCCTAATAGTCTTTCCCCCAACAGTTTTAGCATTCATTGATGATGCCTGCCTGAATCAATTTTTACACTGGGTGTAGCAAAACAGTGGCTTCCTACTTTTATAATTCCTTCTATATTTATTAGCTAGCAATTTTCTGTAAGGGGTTTTCCATCCATCCCCCTTTGTCTTTCCCTCTTTTTAAGTATCATTATGAACTTATTTTATAATCCACGTCATCCTTATTTACCAAGATGCTCAAACTGATGCACAAATTTGGCCAGAGGGAGCCTCTTCAAGCTGGCTCCCACATCCTTTTCATATAATCCCATTAGTGCTTTAGCACATCCATGTTTTCAGGAACAATACAAAGCCCATCTTGTATTGTCCCTATCCCAGCCCCGGTTCCAGTTCCTGGTTCCTTTTAGAGGGCAATAGTGTTTAGTAACAAAGATCTTGGCTGACTGTTAATGAGGTGTTGTTGCCTCTAGGCCCTTTCGTGTATAGAGCTGAGAAATATATTTTATAAAATATCATGAATTAAATTCAATTTCAACACCACAGGGTTTTTCCTCACCTTTCCCCACTCCATATTTGTATCTCCCTTCTCCCACAGTGAGAAGGAAAAAAAAAAAAAAAAACACAATATATTTACTCATTTGCTCTAACCTACAATAAACACAAAACAGTTTCAGAATTACAGCACTAAATCTGTGTTACGGAACACTTCCAACAACATACCTACTAAGTAAAATTCAGTGTACCTTTGCAGCTTTTTTTTTGTCCGTAGGCAGTATCCCACTAAGGGTATACAGTTAGAATACTGCATTCAAGTCATCTGAATTGATTCTTTTCTCTGTGTGATTGTTATTAATTTGATACACAGGTTCATTTGTTTCTGCTTTTGTGTCTGTTTTTTGTTTTTTATCCTATTTAATTTAATGTTGTTTTTAAAATACTTCAAACATTTACTTGGTATCAAAAAATCAAGACATATTTTCTCAGAGAAGTCTTGCTCATAGTCATATACCTTGCATCTTACTGTCACCCCCTACCATAAGAAAACATTTTTTGTTAGTTGATGCTTTACCTTTATTTTTACCAAAATAATAGAACATTATATATACACACACGTTTGTGTGTATATGAATATATACTTAAATGTATATATATACAAATTGAATACAAATGTGTGTACATACATTTCTTCTTTTTCATATATATATGTAAAATATGTGAAAATAAATCAGACGCCTCTATATGTAAATGTATAAAACATAGCATACATATATACTAGCTCACGCCTTCCTCTTTTTTTTTTCCCCCCAAAATTATGGGGTTTAGTAGGAAAGTAACAGTTACAATTCAGCACGCCTACCTTTTTCACTTAATGTAAATATATAATCTGGAAATAATTTCATACCAGTCCATAGAGATTGTCCTCATTCTTTTTTATGTTTGCATAGTATCACGTTATATTGATGCACCATAGTTTATTCAACCATTTTTCTATGGATGGGCCTTTAGGTTGTTTACAACATTTTGCTTTTACAAGTAATGCTATTGAAAAACTATGTTATTTCTTATTGGTAAACGTGATATTTTCAAAGTAAACTCCCAGAAGTGGTATTGTTGAGTCAACGGATAAACACATAAAACAGGTTTGTTGGATGGTGCCCAAAATACTCTGTAGGAGTTGTACCATTTTGTTCTCCCATCAGCAGTGTAAGAGAGGACCCGTTTTCCCCTAGTCAGGCCAACACACCATTTTCAAGCTTTTGAATTTTTGCCAGTCTAATGGCTGACAAATGGGACTTCAGTGCAGTTTTAATTTGCTTATTATGACTGAAGTTGAGTATTTTTTCACATACTTAAAAGCTATCTGTTTATATTTCTGAAAACTGCTCATGTCTCAAGTATTTTTAATTGCATTTCTATTAAGATTTTTATTCATAAGATTTTGCAAATATTTTCATCAACTTATTATTTTTTAACTTTGCTTGTGGATTTTTCCCCCTGCATTTTTTTTAATGCATAAAAATTTATTATGTTCTTGATATTACTTCTAAATTTTGAGTAATGATTAGAAAGGCTTGCCTCACATTCAGGTTTTAAAAGAAGCCATTTATGTTTTCTCCTAGCATCTGTATGGTTAAAATTTTATATATTGATCTCTGACACATTTGAAGTTTATTCTAGTATATGGTATAAGGTATGAATCTAATTTGTTTCTTTTCAAAGTGGCTATCCTTTGGTCCCAACACCATTTATTTAAAAGTCCATCTTTGCACTCAGTTGTTTGAGACGGCACATTTAGTATACTAAATTTCCATATGTACTTAGGTCTACTTTTGTACTTTCTATTGTTTCATTTATCCATCTATTCATGTGCCAATACCAGAGTTTTACTTAAAGATGCTTTATGACATGTTAGTATCTAGTAGGCCTATGCCCTCCTCTTTACTCTCAGAAGTTCTTCCTAGCTGTTCTTTCATGTTTATCTTCACATATGAATAAAGTTTGTGGTTTAACCCTTTCCTTCTCATAACTAAGCAATTAGGTTTGTTTTTCCTGAGACCCTCCCCTGAACACCCCCCCACAAAAAAAAAAAACAAACTCATTGCCATCGAATAGATTCCGACTCATAGTGACCCTATAGGACAGAGTAGAACTGCCCCATAGGGTTTCCAAAGAGCAGCTGGTGGATTTGACTTGCCGATCTTTTGGTTAGCAGATGAACTCTTAATCGCTCATTTTCTGTTATCTTTAAGTTTTTGGTTCTAAGCAGCACAGACATCTGATTTGGCTATGGATGAAACTATAATATAGTAACATCTCATTATTACCCAATATAGTAATTCCCTTAGAATTAATGTCAATGGGCAACAGGTAGTTTGTTGTTTTCCTTGGCTTACCTGGGTTCTGCTTACTTAACTTTTTTATGTTAGCTATCAATGGCAGGTGATTTCTCCTGGACCCTTATTTTACAAAAGATCTGGTTAAATAAAGAAGAGGGTAAAAAGGAGAGGGCAACAATGGTCACAAGTAAGTTTATATGGTAGGAACATTCAAAATAAAAGTTATCACAGCTGACTTTGAAAGGTTGCTGTTATTGTTGTTAGGTGCCGTCAAGTCAGTTCCAACTCATAGCAACCTTATGTACAACAGAACGAAACATTGCCTGGTCCTGCACCATCCTCACAATCATTGCTATGTTTGAGCCCATTGTTGAAGCCACTGTGTCAATCCATCTTGGAGAGGGTCTTCCTCTTTTTTGCTGACCTTCTACTTTACCAAGCACGATGTCCTTCTCCAAGGACTGGTGCCTCCTAGTAACATGTCCAAGGTAAATGAGATGAAGTCTCACCATCCTCACTTCTAAGGAACATCCTGGTTGTAATTCCTCCAAAACAGATTAGTCTGTTCTTTTGGCAGTCCATGGTACATTGAATATTCTTCGCCAAGACCATAATTCAAATGCATCAATTCTTCAGTCTTCCTTATTTACTGTCCAGCTTTCACATGCATATAAGGTGTCTTAGTCATCTAGTGCTGCTCTAACAGAAATACCACAAGTGGATGGTTTTAATAAGGAGAAATTTATTCTCTTCACAGTCTGGTAGGCAACAAGTCCAAATTCAGGGCATCAGCTCCAGGGGAATGCTTTCTCTCTCTGTTGGCTCTGGAGGAAGGTCCTTGTAATGCATCAGTCTTCCCTTGGTCTAGGAGCATCTCAGCGCAGGAACCTCAGGTCTAAAGGATGCGCTCTGCTCCCAGCACTGCTTTCTTGGTGGTGTGAGGTTCCCATGTGTCTCTGCTCGCTTCTCTCTTTTATATCTCAACAGAGACCAGATTAAGACACTATCTAATCTTGTAAACCTCATCAGCATAACCTCATCATAGTGATAGAGTTTACAACACATAAGGAAATCACATCAGATTACACAATCATACAGTACTGGGACTCCTGACCTAGCCAAGTTGACAGATATTTTTGGGGGACACA